TATGGATAAATTTTAGAGTAGTGGGTAGTTTATAAAGGTTGTACTTCCTAAGTTTTAGAGTGGTAGGAGTCTATATTTTTGTTTGATCATTTCTATTGACGTAAGAAGAAAAGAAGAAGAATTTTATGTTTTAAGTCTATATATTTGTTTTAAGCCTGTCTCTTTATGGGGGTGTTTAATGAGGTTAAGATGACTACAGGATTAGAAGCCTATGCTCAGAAATCAGCAATCTATTTCGGGGATGTTAGTCAAGGGTTGCAGGCCAAAATTTGTGATTGTTGCTTTTCCTGTAGGATCTTTCCCGATGAAATACTTAGGAGTGTCTTTAACTCCTAAAAAGTGGAATCAAGTTGAATGTCAGGAGATTATAAATAAGATTGTTGCTAGAAGAATTAAATGTTGGAGTTCTAGACATCTGTCTTACGCAGGTAGGCTGGTTCTTGTAAACTCCGTTTTGATGTCGATGCACACATTTTGGGGATCCATGTTTTTTTTGCCACAAAGTATAACAAATATGGTAAATCGAAAATGTAGAGATTACCTGTGGGGCACTAACCATAATGGCAGATCAGTGCATTTGGTGAATTGGGAGGAAGTGTGTAAGAAGAAGGTGGAGGGTGGGTTAGGTTTAAGAGATGCATTATGGATAAGGTGGATACACAGAGTTTATATAAAGTATTCATCGTGGTTCTGAGAAGTGCAAGCTAAAAAGGATACTAGTTGGCACTGGAAACAATTGTTAAAGGTCAGAGACCATGCGAAAACTAGTTTTAATGGTAGCAGATGGTTAGCTACAAAAAGTGGTAAATATACGATAAAGTCGGGGTATGATTAGCTGATTGGCAGTGGAGTAAAGCTGAAAGAAACCCAGTCCATTTGGACAAGAATGAATGTCCCGAAACATGCATTCATAACTTGGCTTACTCGGAAGGGGAGGTTGCTTACCAGAGACAGACTTGTCTCTATGAATTTTAATGTTATTGATGTAAGGTGCCTGCTCTGTAACCAAGCACCATAATCTGTTGAGCATTTGTTCTTTCAATGCTGTTTTGCCAAGCAGTTGAAGGATCATGTAGAGCTGTGGTTAGGGTGTAGACAGATTGCTGATGATATGAGTAGATGGAAAAAAACAAGTTATGGCGGTGTGGAAAGGGTGCAAGTTAAAAAGAAAACTCCTATGGGTTGATATTGCTGCTTGTGTTTATCACGTTCGGGAAGAGAGAAATAAGCGGATTTTTGATGATCAAGCTAGAAAACCAGAGGATATAGTGCTGCTGATCAAGGAGGAACTGAAGTGCAGGGTTTTGTATTGTATCAGAAGACAGACTAAAGCTGAAGAAAAGGTGTTGTAGAAGTTGTTTTAAATTGTATAGTTGTCCCTCTATTTGTAAATTTGTTTTATGTTGCTTTAAAGTAGAATTAGATGTTTCTGTTTGGGCTCGAAAGGAGGAGTTACCCTCTACAGTTTTTTAGCTTGGTAGGGGTATAGACAGTGCTGTATGAACTTTCATATTTTGGTGGTTTAATATATCTGTTTACATTTTGCACCCAAAAAAAAGTCTCTGTTCTTTCTGTAATTTTTGGAGTTTTGGGATTCCACTCGAATAGAATCCTAATAGTTTGATAAATATCCATTTGAAATAAATAATGTATCACTGATCATTGTACATCAATACTAGAGTTTAGATGGAAAGTTAAAATGTAAGCAGCTGTCCCAATGTCCCATAAATGCCACAAATGACATAGATCATATAATCATATTACTAATTAAAATTTTGTAAATTTTTGGACAAATTCGAATATGTAAACTAAAACAAATTCAATCAGGAAAGAACAACAACGTTTCCTTGCAAAACATTACATGCTTACACAAGTAAATCATAATATAGCTCCCGTCCCATTTTATAGACCAATTTATTTGAATTCAACCAACTGAGATGGGATCCAAAAACAAAGCAAAAATATGGGGTTGGATAACTAGATGTGGAGGAGTGAAACCATCTTGTCGATCCTTATAAAGAACGTCAATTACGCGTGCAAGATTGAGAACTAGCCGGAGAACATCCCTTGGCACTGGCGCAGGCAATAGCAGTTCCTCATTTATGTCTTTCCAAGATTCTTCACAAATTTGTTCCATTCCCTGCTTTTCTTCTTCTTCGGTTACATTATGGTGCTGCATGTAACAATCAATAGCAGTCGCACCCCTCTTTTTCTAAGCCTTCAAGCCAATAACATAAAAAATAGGAAATTTATGAAATGATCGTTCTCACAAATACAACTAATGAATCTACTAAAAGAAGAAAGTTGGTAGATTTATTAAAAAAATAATAGACAGAAAACTGGTAAGGGACTACATCTCTATATTTTTGTCACGCTTTGAAGAGTACATTGAAGTCTTATATTTATAGACTTTACAAAGGTTTCTAGGGTTTCCAAGAGTAGCCACGGCACAGTTAGATTGTGGAGTTGATCACCATCGGGTTGTTGTTGATGATAGAGATATTTGTAGTTGTAGAATCAACCTCAGGCTAGGACTATAAGTCCTTATCTTTAACATCTCCCCGCAAAATGAGCCGGGGTTAAAGGCACAGTTTGGTAAGGAAGAAGAAATTTGTACATGTGGAAATACTGTTCTTGTACAGGTCTCGAATTGTGGACCAAAACTTGCGAGGAAGCGGGATCTTTGCTGTAGCAAGACTGTCACCCGATCTTTCAAAAAGTGTGAATGTGATTTTCAATGAATATGTTGTCATCTTTGTGGAGATATGTGGGGTGTTTTGATGTAAACTTCCTTATTTGAGAAAACTTCATTTTGAGTGTTTCTCGAAGGAGTATGTGTGTCAAAACAAATGACAAGTCCAAGGAGTTTTTTCGGACTTTTTCCATGATTGAAACTTTGGAATGGATTCAAAAGGGGGTTTCTTGGTAGTGCTTTTTGGAAATGTTTTTTTTTTTTTTCTTTTTGAGGTATGATTGAGAATAACAATTCCAAGGTTGATGGACAAAGATGCGGAAGCCATAGTTGATGGACAAAGATGTAGTATTATTCAAATAAAGAAGGAAATAAGAAGAAAAAAAAAATAGTCGCAGGATAAAACCTGCTCTGATACCAAGAAGAAAATTGGTATTAGATTTATTGAAAATTAAAAGTAGACAGAAAACTGGTAAAGGACTATATCTCTATATTTTTGTCACGCTTTGAAGAGTACATTGAAGTCTTAAATTTATTGACTATTACAAAGGTTTCTAGGGTTTTCAAGAGTGGCTGCGGCACACTTAGATTGTGGAGTTGATCAACATCGGGTTATTGTTGATGATACAGATATTTGTAGTTGTAGAATAAATCCTTGATGTTGTTGCTTATCACTTTGCAGACTCATAGAATCAACCTCAGGCTAGGACTATAAGTCCTTATGTTTAAGGACTAAAATGTGAATGATTGAAGATGTGCATGGATGATGATTAGGTTTTTAGTTTTGTTTACATTTTTAAAAAAAATTAGACCTTTTAGATGGGAGTTGGAAACGTGTACGTCTTATTTCTTAAATAAATATCTCTTTATGTCCTAGAAAAATAGTCAAGATTTTAATTTAAAATTTTATATTAATAGAAATTTAAAAATTTAGTGTGGACTATCACTACAAAAAATCCCCCCCTATAAAGACATTTGAAAATGCATTATTATATGAGGTATTAATACACTAGAGTTAATAGGACACTTTAAATAAGTGTATTCCATTCCAATGTCGCAATAGTCAGGTGTATTAAGAAGTATGTTGTGGTGACACATAAAAGTGTTTAAGCAGACAATTTCTAAAGTCACTTAAATGTTGTTTAACATAATATTTAAGGACATTTGAAATGTTTGTAAAGGTTATCTTTTAGTGCACTTCCATATATTAACTTGATATGAAATCATTTCTATTTAATTTTTTTTTTTGGTTTTCTTGATTAGTTATTTTTATTTACAATTTTTTTTATATTTTTAATAATTATAATTCTGCAATTAGTATTAATTTATTAACATTTATTACTATGATAATAAACTAAGAGGAATCATATAAAAGTGGAAATATACGGAATCCATTGAAATCATTCCACGAAAACATATAAGCAGTTTACATGGATAAAAATTATTTATGAGCCCTATTACTAAAATCAAACTACATCCAAAACAAAATTACAATTATTTTTTCCCCTAAAAATCAATCCAAATGTAGCTCTTCAATGCTTCCAAAAAAAAAAAAAAAAATGCTTCCAAAACTTGAGATTCACCACTGAAGCCCACCTACTTCCAAAAAAAAGTTACTGAAGCCCTAATGCATCTATTGTTACCTGCACAAGTTTTGTGAAAAGATCTAAGAAGTAAAACAAAGCATAAAACATTGTGAAAAAATAATAAATTTGGAAGAATAAGAAACGTACGAACGAGGATGGCCAAGCAATCATTTCTCCCATTACATCTCCAATCTTTCAAAATTTGCCGTAACCTCTAAATAAATATTCTTCGGGAATAATTTTCACAGTCACGAATACCTCACACCAGTTTGGACCTAGAACGTGTCCACCAACCTCTTTACTAGGGTCCATACTTTCAATGCATCCCTTAGCAACAATTTTGATAGGATCATTTACACTCTTTAGGGAAACATAAGACCCAACCTAATAAGAATGCCAAATAATATGTGTTATATTTACAAACAAGAGCGTGGCAATGAATATGACATATGAGATTGATCAATTAAAAAGTTTTTTAAAAAAATTCTAAGGATTCTCACCGTAATAACAGGAGTTGGTGTATTCTGGTTTGGGATATCATGAAGTTGCAGTGACCGCTGACTCGCATTACCTTGTTCCTCGATCCTTAGACGCTTAGATGTGTTCTGAACTGTCCCTCGAGCATTTGATTGGCTAATTTCTTAGGTAGCCATTTGCATGATATTCTGACATTACCTTAATGATTGAGCAGATATATCATCTTGATCAATTAGATCATCATCTTAATCACTTGAATCATCAAAATTTTCTTGAACATGATTATTACGTTCTTGCATATTGGCCTAAAAAAACAATTATATATCAATCACTATCTATTACCCATGTTTAATTTGTTAAAGATGATTGGTATTGACTTACATTTGCGCTTAAAATTGTTGGATTGGAGTCTCCATTAGAGTCCAAGAAGCATGCACGAAGCAACTCAACACGGCTTGGGGGGCGTCCATTTTCCTTTGTCTAGGAATAGATATTGATTAAAATACATTATATAATAATGGGAAAATCAGAAAATGAACAAATGAAAGAAAGTACCATTTTATGTTCAACTCGAGCAAAGGAAGTTTGCCCGGTTTTTTGATCATTCACCCTCTTGGCTCTAGCATTCTTCCTTCTTCGACTTATTTTCTGAAATTGAGTTCAAAGTAATTTAATCAACACATGAAGGTAAATGAGAACCAACTTCAAAAATTTTACATACCTTTGCAGCCTCGCTATTCCACTGAGTACATATCTTCATCCATTCAATAGCAGTGACTCTAGCATCTCTTTGGTCCACCAAAACTTCCACTGAAGCTTCATACCAATATTTGGCTTTCGATCGATTCTTCCAATTTCTCCATTTTTTACCAACAGAACTCAAAATCTTTTTTTCGGCAATGCGAGGAACATGAAAACGTAACTACAACATATATGTAATCATTATACTCTAACTCATCAAAAATAGATTAAAGACATCAAGATCAATTGAGAAAACACAATAAAGTAACCAAGTTAAATAATTACCTTTACAATGTTCAGAATCTCATCCTTGTTCTCTATCTTACGCCAATCATTAATACCAATTGGACAATACTGGCAGTTACGAGCAATTGAACCCAAAGAATAACTAAGAATACTGCACTCTCCATCAACAGGATCACCCTTGTCATTATACTCGACATGAATTTTGGGTAAGTGGGGAGGACGACCCCAGATGCTTTTCATACATGTTGGACCGCGGGTTTCAGTTTCAGAATCACTTTCGACACCTTAATAAATCATAATTATGTTAACTTTTGTAATTCAAGAAAAACTACATCACCAATTGATAATATATTACCTTGCTCATGTTCTTTTTCATGAGTACCAGTCACATGATCATAATGGATTTCAGATTCTTCCCTATGTCTATGTGTGGACTGGTTAACCATAGGATCATTCTGAGACAAACCTGTGATATATGTTCATAAGAAATCATATTAGCGCAACCTACAACTATAATATCCCCAAAATTCTAAACATAAATTAGGGAAACGAACTATAGAAATTTCCAAACGCAACAAAAAGTTAACATAGTGCATTTTGGATATACCAGTGTTATGGTCATATTGAGATACTCCATTTGAAGTTTGACGTGAGCCCATATTCCACTATAAACTCTGGTACCCACTTTGAGTTCTAGTTCTACTCCCTAAAAAAAGGAAAATAGAGCTTTATTGCATTAAAATGAAAAAAAGAAGAAGAAACAATTCAAAGTTATCATTAGAACCAGAAATCCGAAATAACAATCACTAATCAATTTATAAGTTCATAATATTGCAAACTTCAAGTTTTCAAATTCTATGCTAACTATTTATTTTGCATTACCTTGTTGCTGCCCTTGTTCATCAATACCAGTCATGTGATCAATTATAAACTCCTTCTGAGATCTAATATTGGTTTGGCTTCCAAAAGAATTCTTTTCAGTCGCACCTGCAGTACATGCCCAAAAGAATCAGAAACAAAATACAATAAATATCTAAATAAAATAACTGTAATAAAAATGAAAACCTAATGGCATCACCTCGTTTTGGTATTTCATACTGAGCATTAGGACCATAAGGATTGATTCCTGTTCGAGTCATTCGAGGCGCTTGTGAGTTTGACTCAGGTTCAGATTCTGAGATTGGCTCATCTCGAAGAACAACATTATTTTGCTTGCATTTTCGGCCTTTACCGGACATACCTAAAACTTGTAAGCAATCAGTTTAGCTAAAAATTATTTTAAAACAACCAAGCTATGCACATATGCTTCAAACTAGCTAAAAACTAGATCTTTATTAAGATTCTAAATAAAAAAAATAGCAATAAATAGCTAAATAAAATAAACAGAATAAGAAAGAAACCCCTAAAGGCATCACCCTTATTTGGTATTTGATACTGAGCATTAGCACCATCAGGATTGAGTTTTGTTCGAGTCATTCGAGGTGCTTGTGAGTTCGACTCATGTTTAGATTCTGAGATTGGATCATCTCGAGGAACAACATTATTTTGCTTGCGTTTTCGGCCTTTACTGGACATCCCTGCAAAAAGTAAGAGTATGGAAAACTAGTAAGCGATCAGTTTGGATGACAATAGTTTAAAAGAACCAAACAATGCACATAGGCTCGGAAGAAGCAAGAAAATCCCTAGTTTGGTTCTACTAAATCCCCTCATTGCCATCCAGATCTCAAGTAAGTACACCCCTCTATACCCGTAAAAAACAAACAAACTAAAAGGTACGACTAATTTATTTCATTGGTGCAAATTATCAAACACTTTAAGTGGAAAATCTTTCAAATCATTATAATTAGTAAATCAGTGCTAATTATCAAACAAACATATAGTAGTATTATTAGTGGTCAACCAATGATGAAAATCTCTGAAATCGTTACAATCAATCACATGCATGATGCATTCAAAGGAGAAAAACAAAATCAAGCCATATAAATTCGAAAAGAAAGAGGTGAAAATACCTGGTCAATTGTTGCTCCGAATTAAGGATCTTTATCACCCATTTCCCACTGAAGAGTAAGTATTCCCAATGGACATGTATATATATGAGATCGACCATGATAAGGATGAAGGATATGTGCTGATTTGTGTGGAGAAATTTTAGGCGATGATGGGAGTTGTTTATCCGAAGAAGAAGAAGGCGCGGAAGAATTTTCATTTTTAATCTTTTTGGCGCTTTTCATATGGAATAAATTTGTTGTCAACCTTGTGCTGCCCGCCCAAGGAAAACGAAGACGAAAGAGAAAAGGTCATGAATTTTTTCAGTGAGTTTATAATACAAGTATTGTTTATAGTTGTATGCCATTTAATTGTTTATTAGGATAAAATGATTAAAAAAACTAAGAAACTCTATCAGAGAGACTTTGCTTAGTTCTTTGATTGATATCACAACACTATTTTAATTTACAATATCAAATTAATGTAAGAATTCTATTTACGGGATGATTTCTTTGATATATAAAAAATACATGGTTCATGAGAAATTTTGTTTTTTCCCTAACTTTGTTTACAATTTTTTTTTTTTTAAAAAAACAATGAATGTTTCAACCAGATTTGTGTCCCTTCATACAATAGTAATGGATTGTGGCTTAACAATTTAAACTCTAAGCTATCAAAAGAATTTTATGTCCCTTTTGATTATCTTATAAAGATCTTACAAAAATATTGCATCTTATATTCCATTAAAATCGAAAAACAACCATAATGTACTATCTTGGTCTAAACAATGGAATATACACAATGTAATTATTATTTTCTCATCCATAAAATGTAGTATTTATATGGTATACTTCATTTAGTATACTCAATTGTGTGCTTCTAAGTTTTTTTGGTGTAACAAGTATACTTATTAAAGCAAATAAAGCAAATTGTTTCAAGTTAAAAGAAATAAAGCTAAAATGTTCTAGTTTATACTAAGAAATCAACATGCATGGGAGAAAGATTGTATGTAATGAAGAGAGAGTAATAATACTCTTTTTTTTTTTTTGCATGCTCTTATAGTATTCGCTAAAAACTACTTCCTGTCATAAAAAAATAGTTCAGATTGACTTTCTAAATCTGTTCTAGTTTTAGTACAAATTTAAAAACTCAATGTCAACTAATTTTTCAGGAAGAAGGGAATATAATAATATACAAATTATGTGGATTAGTTCAGCAAGCCCCCATACATATTAGAATAGCAAAAACCAATCTGATGATAAATTAAAAGAGTTGAACTCGAGATATGTACTCAATGCAACTTTTGGGATTTAATGAAAAATACAAATACTTTGCATAGGGGCGTAATTGAAAAAAAAAATCCAAATACAATCACAATAAAATCATTAAAAAAATGTAATGACGTGAATTTATAATAAAAAGGGTGCCACAAATGAAAATTTAAATCTTTTATTGATCCAAATTACAAATTTAAAATTATATGGAACAAAGTCTTCCTGGCACAAACTTGTCCCAAATCCATTTTGGCTAGCTATTTGAAGTAAAAATAATGTCAATAAGTGAATTTGATTTCCGAAAAACTTGTCCCAAATCCATTTACTGAAAATTTCTTTATTCCTCATTCTCGAAAAACCTCTCTGCTCCCTTCATTTCCTCCCAAAAAACAACAATCACAACCCCAGCAACCTCCCCTTTTCTTTAGTACTCCCTCGACCAAAACACAGCAGCCACCACCGAAAAAAATCAGCTTCCTCCTTGCCTCCTCTTCGTAGCCAACAATCTCTTCCTTGTTGTCGACGTCGAGGTCACCAAACTTTGCTTATCAATCGGCAGCCACCGAATCTCAATTACCTATTTTCTTTTGTTTTTGGTTCAATTCAAAACTGAACGGTTCGTTTTATAATTGTTTACTTTGTGGAAGTAAACGGTAGCAAGGATTAAATTTAAAGAAAGGACCAGCAAAGGGCGATTGAGGCTTGAGGAGAAAGGAGAAGTTCAAAACTCGGCAATCAAGCAGGGAGTTTATAATCGGGTAGTCTTCTCACCCTCAAATTGTAAGTTTACCATCTCTGAATCTTTAATTATGAAGCTTTATTGCGGAACTAGAAATAAACAGCAACATGAATTTTTAAATCTTAATGTAGGGTGCATGTGCGTAGTATTTGGGCATGTTTTCCAGATGGAATCTTAAAAGTAGATTGGCAAAGGGAGCTTGTTAATTGAAAGTAAATTGTTACCATAAGTCAAAGTAAATGAAAGTTTTCCCATTTTTATTTATGAACTCACTATATGGTAAATACAACCTGCTTTCATTGTTTGTATAGCATTTGGAAACATCATTGTTTGACAACATGGATAGGAGTTGGATGAGCAAGAAAAAGAGTAAGTGAGAATACCAAAGTGGACTTGAGTTTTTCTTGAACTTCGCATTCTCAAAGTCAAGTGTAAAGGGAATGATATTATGTCCATGCAAACGTTGTCAGATTAGTGTCTTCTTCAGTAGAAGTGAGGCATTTGACCACTTGATGGTTAATGGATTTATCCCGGGATATACACATTGGATAGCTCATGGAGAGCTTGCTGCCAGTAGTTCGTCTAGGACTCAACCTCAAACAGATTATCCTGATGCTTCAAAATTTGTGGATGATATGCAAAATTTAGTTAATGAAGCTTTTGGGGATAACCAAGAAGATTTCAACATCCAAGATGCAACTTGTATTCCAAGTGATGCAGACGTTGCTAGTGGACAGGCAAGAAAATTTTACAAGTTGATTGATGAATCTCAGAAAAACTTATATGAAGGGTGCGAAAAATTTACGAAACTTTCATTATTATCAGACTGCTGCACCTGAAATGTCATGGGAAAATGACTAATAAAGTTTTTGGCATGTTGTTGGATTTGTTAAGGGAAGCTTTTCTAGATGCCATGGATGGTTTGCCTAAATCGTACTATGAAGCAGAAAAATTAATGACAGATTTAGGACTTGGCCATGAGAAGATTGATGCTTGTCCAAATGATTGCACTTTGTACTGGGGGCTAAATGCGGGAAAAACATCATGTGAGACATGCAATGAATTCAGGTGGAAAATTTCTGACAAGGATCCATATGGTGTGAAGAAAAAGATTCCACGTAAAGTATTATGGTATTTTCCTATCAAACCAAGATTGCAGAGATTGTTTATGTCTTCTAAAACAGCTTCTCATATGCGATGGCACTCTGAAGGTCATACGAAGGATCGTTATATGAGACATCCTGCAGATTCCCCAACTTGGAAGACATTTGACAATTTACATCCTGAAATTGCTAAAGAACCTCGAAATGTGAGATTGGGGTTATCTTCTGATCGATTCAATCCGTTTAAACTTATGAGCTCTTCTCACAACATATGGCCAGTGGTACTAATTCCCTATAACCTCCCACCCTGGATGTGCATGAAACAACCATATTTTATGCTGTCATTGTTGATTCCTGGTTCATTATGTCCTGGTAACAATATTGATATTTTTTACAACCTCTTATTGCTGATTTGAAAGATTTGTGGGAAGTTGGATTTGAAACATATGACGTATCTAAGAAGGAAAAATATTCAGCTACGGGCATCAATGATATGGACCATAAGTGATTTTCCTGGATATGCAAACTTATTAGGATGGAGTAGTAAAGGTAAACTTGCATGTCCTATTTGTCACAAACATACACATTCTTTTTGGTTAAAGAATGGACACAAAAATTGCTATATGGGTCATCGAAGATTTTTGGACCAGAGACATTCGTTTCGAAAGAAAGCTAGTCTTTTTGACGGATCTATAGAACATGAAGAAGCACCGCAATAATTGATTGGTGATATGGTGTTTGATGAATTGAAATATGTTTCTGATAAATTTGGAAAGTTAGATCCTGCGGATCCACAATTGCCTTTTAATTGGAAGAAGAGAAGTATTTTTTTTGAGTTGCCTTATTGGAAAGATATTGATGTGCGTCATAATCTTGATGTCATGCACATAGAGAATGTCTGTGAGAGTATTTGTGGAACTTTATTGAATATGAATGAGAAGTCTAAAGACAATCATAAATCACGGCTCGACTTACAAAATATGGGTATTAGACCAGATCTTCATCCTATTACAAAGGACTCTGGGAAAGTTTATTTACCTCCAGCATCTTTTACTATGAATAAGGATGCGAAAGCCATATTTTGTAAGGTTATGAAAAAGGTTAAGGTGCCCGATGGTTATGTTTCAAATATCTCACGATGTGTTCAAGAAAAACCACCAAAGCTTGTCAGATTGAAAAGTCACGACTATCACGTCCTAATGCAGCAATTGTTAGGCACAGCAATTCGAAAAACGCTATCTAAGTCAGTACGTTCTCCTTTGCTCCGACTGAGTAGGTACTTAAGAAAATTGTGCTCTAAAGTGATTTGTCCTACTGATGTGATACGTTTGGAAAAAGAAATCGGTGTGATACTTTGTGAGTTAGAGATGATATTTCCACCATCGTTTTTTGATGTTATGGTTCATCTTACAGTGCATTTGGCTACCGAAGTTAAACTAGCTGGGCCAGTTTACTACCGTTGGATGTATCCAG